TCATTTCTTAAGAGGGAATCAGGATATCAAAATAGTCTCCAAACTCAGCTGATTCCTTCTCCAAATATACTCTCCACCCTTGATTCCTTTTCAAGAGTAAATAAAAATGCTTATTTTCATTGCTGAACTCACTGATTTTTAATTTTACCATTTAAATGTTAGCAACACAGCTGGTAATGTAACCAAAGATTTTTTGGCATGGAGTGATGCATTCAGAGCCTTCATTCTAGCTACGGCGGAGGATGGGCTAGAACAGGAGCATGACAGCATGCTGGGCACACTGTTAAGTGACTGATGGAGTCATTCAGCTGACAGACAATAATGGCCTGGATTAAGGAAGAAGACGGGACCAAGAGGTGCCAGAGATACATAGGAAGTAAAAATTAATAGGCCTTGGCAACTAATTTTTTTTTTTTAAGACAGAGTCTTGCTATGTCACCCAGACTGGAGTGCAGTGGTACAATCTCGGCTCACTGCTACCTCTGCCTCCTGGGTTCAAGCAATTCTTGTGCCTCAGCCTCCTTCATGAGTAGCTGGGACTACAGGCTTGCGTCTCCATGCCCAGCTAATTTTTGTATTTTTAGTAAAGATGGAGTTTTGCCATTTGGCCAGGCTGGTCTCGAACTCCTGACCTCAAATGATTTGCCTGCCCTGGCCTCCCAAAGTGCTGGGATTACAGGCATGAGCCACTGCACCCAGGTTGGCAACTAACGTATATGGGAATGACAGTGATTAATGAAAAAGTGGGGAGAAAAGCTGCTCTTGACATCTGAAAGCTGACTTGGCATTCACAGCTACGCCATGTTATTTTCCTGTTGGGCTTAAGTCTCACAGAATGCCAACATTAAACAAGATGACTCAGACCTTAATAAACTGAGAAAAAACAAGTCCACTTCATAATTTTGTCTAACACAGGAAAAAAGAGGATCACCATGCCATCCAAAAATACCAAACATCACCCTATCTCAGCTAAAATGAGTGACTGCTACTTCTTTACCAGTGACAGCTTTGTCCCAGCTCTAGTCTGCCTTCCCTGTAGAAATGTTTTGAGATAATCATGAAATTCTCTTTCTTTCTGATAGTATCCAATCTGGAGCCAACCCATTTCCTTAGACCCTCTCCCAATCCCAGATTCTATACTGGGTTCTTCCAAACACTGTCTTACTGAGACACCCCGTGGTTCCCCATGTTGTGTGTTCTTCTTTGCTGCAATGAGTAATAAACTCAGCTTGTTTAACTAGAGTTGTGTTCCTGATGGTCTCCGGTTGAAGGGTGTTGACATTAAGAATAATGTCAGAGTTTCTTGCTTGGACAGTCAGGTGTGAGTAGGGCCAGGAATAGAAATAAAGAATACTGGAGGAGAAGAAGAAAATATCTTCGGTTTTTAACAAATTACCTTTGAGATATTAGTGGGTTATTCCAAGCGGAGATATCCAAGAGGTAATTGGATAAATTTATGGCTCTGGAGTGCAAGAGAGATTTCTGTGCTGAGTTTATATCCATCCATCCATCCATCCATCCATCCACCCACCCACCTACCTACCTATCTATCTGTACCTATACATAGTACATTCAGAAGTATATATTTGAGAGCTTTCTTTGTTGTTGAGGCAGGATCTCTGTTCCTCAGGCTGGAGTACAGTGCCACTATGTTGGATCACTGCAGCCTTGACCTCCCGTGCCCAGGCAATCCTCCCACCTCAGACTCCCAAGTAGCTGGGACTACAGGCACATACCATCACACCTTGCTCATTTTTGTATTTTTATTAGAGATGGAGTTTCACCATGTTACCAAGGATGATCTTGAAGCCCTGGGCTCAAGCAATCTGCCTGCCTTGGCCTCCTAAAGTGTTGGGATTACAGGTATGAGCCACTGCACCCAGCCCACTGTGTATATAATAGTTCAAGCTGTAAGATTGGCAGAGAGCACCAGAGAAGGAAAACAATGAGAAAAGAAAAGGGCTGAGGACAGAGCAGCAAAGAGCATCCCATATACTTAGGGGATGGGCAGAAAATGAGATACCCAGAAAAGACTCTTTGAAGAAGTTATCAGAGGAAAAATAATCAGAAGCAGAAGACCAAAAGTTAGAGGAGAGAGTTTCAAGGAGGAGGATGAGATTAGTAGTTTTATAGGCTGCTAAAAAGTCAAGTAAGATAAAGAGCCCTTCAAGTTAGTTGATATATATATCCCCATCATTTTTGGAGCACCTCTTTATTTCCTGGCACAATGTTCAGGCTCCTCTTACACTTTCCTTCCTTAGCCTTAGAATCAGCCATTTCTCTAAGGAGTCCTGTATCCTTTTAGTGGAAACTATCTAGAAACCAAGATCTGGTGTACCATTCCTTTTAAGAAGCTTGTCTGTGAAGGGTTATGGCTGTATGATCACCTGTGGGACTGGAAGGACAGGGGATATCTGGCTCAGGTAAAGATGAGCAAAACATTGTTAGGAATGGTGGCTCATGCCTGTAATCCCGGCACTTTGGGAGGCCAAGGTGGGAGGATTGCTTGAGCCCAGAAGTTTGAGACCAGCCTGGGCAACATAGAGAGACCTTTTCTCTACAGAAAATAAAAAATAAGCCAGGCATGGTGGCAGGTACCTATAGTCCCAACTACTCAGGAGGGTGAGGTGGGAGGATCCCTTCAGCCTGGGAGGTTGAGGTTGCTGCACTGACCCAGGGCAACAAAGTGAAACCCTGTCTCAAACAACAACAACAACAACAACAACGTGCAAAGCAGAGATGGTATGATCAGAACTGAAGCTTAAGGCCAGGCATGGTGCCTCACACCTGTAAGCCACTTTGGGAGGCCAAGGTGGGTGGATCAACTGAGGTCAGGAGTTTGAGACCAGCCTGGCCAACATGGTGAAACCCCTTCTCTACTAAAAATACAAAAATTAGCTGGGCATGGTGGCACATGCCTCTAATCCCAGCTACTCGGGATGCTGAGGAACAAGAATCACTTGAGCCTGCGAGGTGGAGGTTGCAGTGAGCCAAGATTGTGCCACTGTACTCCAGCCTGGGCAACAGAGCAATAGACTGTCTCAAAAACAACAGCAAACTGAAGCTTAATGTCAGAAGCAGGTTTAAAGATGATTTGACCTTAAGTCCCAGAGGAGCGAATAGAGCTCCTACGGTTAGGATTCATTTTTTAAGAAATGTGGAAGCTCTGCCTCCCAACAGACATGAAGTGTTCACAGCAGAGGAGAGAGGCCATCTGCCCAGGCTGGGCACCAAGCAAAACCTGAAATCACCTTCGAAATGTTTGGGAAAGCTACCTGTGCCAATAATTTTATCCTGGTATATAAGCTTTGTATAAACAGAGCAGTTATAACTTTGTTTATTAAAGTGAGAATTATTTTATTGACTTTAATATTTTTCATTATTAAGGAAATAATGAAATGTATTGGTTCTATTAGTTGAACTAAAATCTTCCAAAGAAGGTTGAAGTAACTGAACCATTTTGCTCTGGGAAATGCCCATTTTCCTTCCAGAAATGCTTCACAAGGGGATTTCCCCTCCTGGCCATGGCAGATTGGACTTGAGGTGAGTATATTAAGTAGGGCTGACCCGTTTATGGTGTTTTGTTCCTTGGTAAGCACATAACTCACACCAGGCCAATGAGGGTCCTTTCTCAGGATTTGAAAAACCAAAGCTGGCCCAAGAGGATTATTCTCTTTTTAGGACCAACAGAGACAGAGGACGTGAGGTTTCTTTGTGGCACAGTTCCTAGGAAGAAGCCAGTGCAAGAGAAACAGATGAAGAGAGAAGCTTCCATGCAGTGTTGGAACCTCTGATCCTGGTCTGTGAGGCCCCAGTGTGCTCTTGCTGTCTCAGAATCATGTGAGCCTCTCTTCCAACACAGATTCCTTTCGGCCTCAGCTAGTTTGACTTTGGGTTTCGATCACATTTCACCAAAAAAAGAGAGACCACACTCATAAAGTGACTTCAAATAAACTTGTTTTTTACATTGTCAAAAGCTAACTTCCTTTTGATAAGTATCTCATATATCCCATCCAAAATGCTAAGAAATAAAGTGGTTACAAATGGCTGATGCATTTTTCCTAATAAAAGCAGCAGTTGTTCAAAATAATTTTTTCTATCTACACATAATATTAGAACATTTATCCAGGCAACCCCCCAAGGATCTCTTTCTTATGAATCACCTTAGTCTAAATTATATTTCTACTTCTATCACATGATTGCACTGAATGTATGTTATCACTTTACTCAAATACTTTCTTCTTTAAAGCAACAAGAAGTAAATCATTTGTAAGAAAAAGTACATACATTACTTTCTTATTTTCTTCCCTTAAGTTACATAAAATTTCCCAGATGCCTACTCAAGCTCATAGTATCTCTAACCATGACCTACTTTAATACGTTGGACTGTCCCTATTTGCTCTTTTAGATTTCCCAGTTCCTAAGGCTAAGCAGAAACCTCCATCCTTGTGTTTATCCAGACAAGTGCAAATTTCAAAGACAGCTATCTAAGCTGGTTAGCGGTTTTGTTCTTTGAAAAGAATCCCGGGTTTGCTTATAATAGCAGGGTTAATCGTTGCACCTGTAGTTTTTGTTTGTTTATTTTTGTTTTGTCTACACATTCATAGAACATCAGCCTACTTCCTTCTGGGATTCACCCTTTCTCCATTTGTAGTCTGAGATCTCAGTGGCACTCTGACTCCCTGCATTAGGAGTAGAGTAACGGCCCAGGCCAAGATAACGTACATATGTGTTCCTGAAGTGGGCACATGACCTAAACCAGTACAATTAGAGAACATCTCAAGACTTTTATGAATGTCACCAACAGATAAGTTTTTCTCTCTGTTGGACATGACCTTGAGGGACTATGAGGCTGGCATTTCTGCAGATATGACCATGAAAAGATTATCTGAGAATTAGGTCAGCCCAAAGGTCCTCTGAGAGATGGAGAAAGGGAAACCAGGTCCTAATTACTTGCTAATTACCTAGGCCAGAAAAGTAACTTTTCTGCTAAAGCCCATTCAAATGGATCTTTCTGTTACTTACAACCAAAAGATTCCTTTTGTTTGTTTATTTTGCCATCAGCTCTTTTTTTTTGCTGCTAGCACAGTCCACCAAGCCTACTGGGCAGCCCTGCTGCCCACCATAGTAGGGTCCATGTCCCACCACCGCTCTGCAGCTGGGTCTCTTGCAGGCTGCAGTCATCCGGAAGGGGCCCTGACAGCATCTGGAGATCCCCAGGCCAGAGGTGAGGGGTGAAATGGGCTGAGCTCAGGGTTAGGGTTCCCCTAGACCCCTCTGGAATTCCTACTTCCTGCTCCCTGCCGAGAGGGGCACCCCAAATTCTCCAGAGGGCTGGGATGGATTAGAGTTGAGAATGGGCACCCTCAAAGCCCATGGGTCCCTGTGAACCTCTGGATTCAGAAGGCCCTGGCAGGCATCCCGGCCGCCCTTACCCTGATCTCCATCCCCGGGAGCTGGCAAGGATGGAGGGTAGGGGTTCAGAGAAGAGTGAGGGGCAGTGGGAGCTTCTCCCCGGGGGCCATCCTTGTGTGTCCCCACGGTTCCCTTGCACAGGTGCAGGAGGCCGTCAAGAGTCAGGGCCAGGCTTCAGGGTCCCAGCGTCACAGGAGGATTGGCCACAGCAGGAGGCTGTAGAGACGCAGGGCAGTGGCCACGCCCACGCCTGCGTCACGGCCACCATCGCCCAGTTGTAGAAGCTCACGCAGGCCGTGCAGCAGACTCCGAGGGGCAGGGGTGCAGGCTCTGGATGACCATGACTACCAGCCCGTTGGCCACTTTATCCGAGAAGCTCACGAGGTCGCCCGTCATGGCCAGCGAGGTGACAAGGATGGTGGCACAGCCGGAGTCCCGTAGCACAGCCGCAGCGTACACGGCCACACCCAGCTCCTCCGAGATCGCCACCCGGGCAGCAAACGCCAGGATCACCAGGAGGCCCGAGGAGTAGGTCGTGTTCCTCCCGATGCACTTGTTGATGGGCTTCATGAGGAAGGAGAAGCCGCTGAGGTACATCACCGGGGGAATGGTCGCGATGAGCTTCTTGGGCAGATAGAGAGAATAGGCGAGGTACACGCATGTAGGTCTGAGACAGGTTCACGATGCCCACCCAGTAGAAAACTGGCTCCCAGAAGCCCAGTGCTTCCAGAGCAGCAAGGTCTGGGTGACGGCAGGGGCCAACAGGGGGCTGTGCTGGCCATGCTCTTCTGCGCGCGGCCAGCGCCTCTCCTCGGTGCCCGGGTGGAACAGCAGCAAGAACACGTCGCCGACACCCACCACCAGCAGGGACAGATTCCGGAACATGGGCACGTCCTGGCCCCCCAGTTGGTCGCTGACGCTGATGTCCTGGGTGACCCCCACCCGCGACGAGCCCTGCAGGTGCAGCAGGAGCCGGGTGGTGCCGTAGACGGTGATGTTGGCCACCATGGCGAAGGTATACCTGAGTGTACTGAGCTCCACCTTCTCATGACAACCAAAAGATTCTTAACTGCTTTTAAACTTTCAGCAAGTGCCTTTCAAACCTTGTCCACCCTTTAGGATCCTACCTGTGATTCTACAAACTAACCCTCCTGCCCTCAAATCCTCTTTCATTGCTGTAATTTTGCCCATGATCTTTTTGAGACATAACCTGACTCTGTTTTATCTCATTTTAATTCTCTTATTTCTAACTATGGATTAAAGATAATCTTTGCCTGCCTATTGCATTAGCCAGTTTCAGTCAGGTAGATTTCTTATTTATTTATTTTGAGACTCTGTAGATCAGGCTGGAGTGCAGTGGCATGATCTTGGCTCACTGTAACCTCTGCCTCCTGGGCTCAAGGAATTCTCATACCCCAGCCTCTGAATAGCTAGGATTAGAGGTATGTGCCACCACGCCTGGCTAATTTTTTTGTATTTTTTGTAGAGATGGAGTTTCACCATGTTGGCCAGACTGGTCTCAAACTCCTAACCTCAAGTGAACTGCCTGCCTCAGCCTCCCAAAGTGCTGGGATTATAAGGGTGAGCCATTGCCTGGCCTCGTCTGCTAGATTTCTTAATTTCAGAAGGAAATTGTAGCTATGAGGAAGAGAACCCAAGGAGACATTCGACAGTTCTGAAATATTCAAAACAAATATGATTAATCTTGCCTTGAAAGATTCTATGTAATCAAAGTTGGGTTCAATCTGTCTTTTTTTCCTGTGGCTTCCTTAGTTGTCTTACCCCAGCTTCCCAGCCTTTTTTCTCCAGCTAAATTCCCCTTGCTGTCCTTTGACAGCTGTTTCAAACAGTTCCCAGGGGATTCAGCCAGGGAAGTCTGAAATCTATATTAAATTCAGGCGAGGGGCTGACATTCATTAATGCTCTAGGGTATCCTGGCTCCTAGGTCATTCACATCAAGGAGAGAAACTGGTCTATCCACTTCCATTCTGGCCCCTAATCCTTCTCTAGACCAAAGCCAGGGTGCTTGATCTGCAGTGCAAATCTGACGTCATTTCTGTGCTTTCAACACTTTAGCATGTGTATTTCATTTTTAAAACTTTTTATGCACAGATCTTCAGTACAGTTTGATGAGTTTTGATAACTGGATATACCAGTGAAACCACCACCCTAAACAAGATAATAGACTATCCCATCATCTCAGAAAGTTCCCTTGCTCCCCATTTCCAGCCATTTCAACCTCTTCTTACCTCCAACCCCAGAGGCAACCATTTCTGATTTTTGTCACCATAGATTAGTTTTGTCTATTTTTTGATTTCATACAAATATAGTCATACAAGATAGACGTTTTTGTGCCATGCTAATTTTACTGTACATAATCTTTCTGAGATTCTCCTGTGGTGGTGTGTGATCCTAGGCTGTTCCTTTTCAATGCTGAGTGTGAATGCTGTATAAATATATGGCTTTTTTTTTTTTTTTGAGACAGAGTCTCACTCTGTCACCCAGCTAACCAGGCTAGTGTGCAGCGGCATGTATCTGGGCTCATTGCAACCTCTGCCTCCTGGGTTCAAGCTATTCTCCTGCCTCAGCCTCCCAAGTAGCTGAGATTACAGGCATGTACCACCACAACCAGCTAATTTTTGTATTTTTAGTAGAGACAGGGTTTCACCATGTTGGCAAGCTGGTCTTGAACTCCTGACCTCAAGTGATGTGCCCACGTCAGCCTCCCAAAGTACCGGGATTTCAGGCACGAGCCGCTGTGCCTGGCCTATGGCAATTTATTTATCCACTCTCCTGTTGATTAACATTTGGGTTGGTTCCAGCTTGGAGCTATTTTAAGCCTGCTATGAATATGTGTCTTCAAGTCTTTTGTGAATATAAGTTTTCATTTCTCTCAGGTAATTGCCTATGAGTAGACTCACCAGATCATGAGCCTTTGAAAGTCTAAAGACCCATTGTTGTTAGGATGAAGACCCAAACCTAAGGTCCTGTATGGCCCTGACTGCTTCTCTGGAGACATCTTGCATGCTTGCCCCTTCCCTTAACTCTGAACTTCAGCCTCTATGTTCTTCCCTCTGCCGGAAACATGCTTCCCTGTTTCTTTTCCTGTTAACCTTGACTCACCCTTCAGATGTAAATGCTGACAACATTAAGGTAAAGACCCGTATTACAGGCATTCCCAACTCTGTGTTCTTGATGCCCTAGTACTTACCAAGACTATGGCTCTATATTGACATGTATGAATATTTGTTTAATGTTTGCTTCTCATGCAGCAGCAAGCATCACCAAGGCAGATGTGTTTGTTTTATTCACACAGGGCCTAGCCTAGCTTCTGGCAGAGAGTAAGCACTCAACAAACCATTGTTGGATGCATAAATGATGACTGCTCTATACCCCACTGCAGATTTTCTTCTCTACTTTGATAAAGTCCCATTTGGTCACCCAGAGGAAAAACCCTCTGTATTCTCATCATGGATTTCTTCATGACCTGGACACAGCAAGAGGGGAAATGATCAGGCAGTCAATGGTTCAGGCTGCCTGGCTTCCAGGAAAGAGAAAAGCTTAAACTTCAATCTTGATCATTCTTGTCCTAAACAGACCATTATGTAAACCAAATTCCTGCTAAACAGGCTTCCGATCCAAGTAAGACAACAAGGCAATGCACTTAGCAAATATTTCACCTTGAAGGAGGCCAATTTGCTCCTGGTGTTTTTTCCCCTTGGTTTATCTCTGGAACACCGGGTACTGGGGACATTCTCAAGATGGCAATGCGTTTCTTGGAAAGTGGGACTGTTTTTTGGTAGAAAGTTGTTCTAGAGGCCAGGCATGGTGGCTCACTCCTGTAATCCTAGCACTTTGGGAGGCCAAGGCAGGCAGATCACCTGAGGCTAGGAGTTCAAGACCATTCTGGCTAACATGGTAAAACCCGGTTTCTACTAAAAATACAAAAAAATTAGCTAGGCGTTGTGGTGGGCACCTGTAATCCCAGCTACTTGGCTGGCTGAGGCAGGAGAATGGCTTCAACCCTGAGAGGCAGAGGTGGCAGTGAGCTGAGAATGCACTATTGCACTCTGTTTCTTTTTTTTGAGATGGGTGAAACTCCATCTCAAAAAAAAGAAAGTCGTTCCAGAAAAAAATTAGGGTCCATAATGCTCTTCCATCAATAAAATTTGTTTTCCACATGGAAATGCACCACCATGGGGCATTTTTACTCTCTGAGTGGCCAGAGTGGAGGTGCTGAGTTGAAAGGCACATTTAACAACATGCTGTTACTGTTCAAAGCAAGGCTATTGAAGTGTTTTGCTATGCACCCCCAAAATCCCAATACATGCAGTAAGGAAGATGATTAATATAATCTCACATACCTTCATATGACTCTTTCTCATGGATAATTTTCTCCCCAGGTGGGCTTTTTGTCTGTGTCCAGTGATACTGTTTCTTCTTTAGATGTTTTGCCTTTGCAAAAAGAGTGCAAATCAAAGTGATCCTAAGCAGATGAGCTGTAAGTGTCAAGAAAACAACATTAGTTTGTATCAGCACCAGACTACTTTTATTGCTATCAGAAAATGAAAGTGTTTTAGAAAATAGCAAATCCCTATAAAAGGAATAGAATGATGTCCCCCAGTCTTGAAATAGAGATTGGTGGTTCTTGAAGAGGATTTGAAGAAGTCAAAGGTGATAATATATGTTAGAAAGTGTGCTAAAATATTTGTCAATTGACTGTTCATACCCTTTGATGTAGTAATTCTTTTCCTGTATGTCTGTCCCAAAGCATTCATCATAGATATAGACAAGGGTTTCTAAACAAGGAAGGTAACTGTTGCATTATGTATAATATGGAGAAATGGGAAATGGTTTAAACATTTAACAAAAAGAGAATGACTGAATATATTCTGAGGCCTGTTTATCATACAATATTAAATTTAATATTTACAAAGAGTACTTAACAACATAGTTAGTGAAATAAGTCCCTACAAAAGGGCCTGAAATATTGTAGGCACTCAGTAAATATTTGTTCATTAGTACATAAATGCATTGCTTTTTAAAAATTAAATTGGGCTGGGTATAGTGGCTCACGCTTGTAATCCCAGCACTTTGGGAGGCTGAGGTGGGTGGATCACTTGAGGCCAGGAGTTCGAGACCACCCTGGCTAACAGGGTGAAACCAAGTCTCTACCAAAAATACAAAAATTAACTGGGTGTGGTGACAGGTGCCTGTAATCCTAGCTACTTGGGAGGCTGAGGCAGGAGAATCAGTTGAACCCAGGAGGCAGAGATTGCAATGAACCAAGATGGTGCCACTGTACTCCAGCCTGGGTGGCCAGGCAAGACTCTGCCTCAAAAAAAGAAAAATCAAATTAAATTAAATTTAAAAAATTGATGCATAATAGATATACATATTTTGGGGGTACAAGTGATGGATTAGTTTTTATTTTAAAATATTTTATTTATTTTTATTATTCTTTTGTACTTGATCTTAGCCATAAGGCTGAGAAGCAATTATTATTATTATTATTATCATTATTATTATTTGAGACAGGGACTCACTCTGTCACTCAGGCTGGTGTGCAGTGGTGTTCACTGCAACCTCAACCTCCTGGGCTCAAATGATCCTCCTGCTTCAGCCTCCTGAGTGTGTGTCACGGTGCCTGGCTAATTTTTTAGTTTTTTGTAGAGATGGTGTCTCACAGTGTTGCCCAGTTGGCCTCAGACTTGGTTTCAGCTATCCTTCTGCCTCAGCCTCCCAAAGTGCTGGCATTATAGGTGTAAGCCACTGCACCCAGCCTGGATTACTTTCATAATTAAAGCAAAAAACTGATTTAAAAATCTGGCAGAGATATGAAGGTTAACATAAAACAACAACATAGACAATGTTAACATTCTTGGAAAAGCACAGAATGGAAGAAGGAAAGAAGCTGCAAACAACTCCTTCTTTCCCTCCCTCAAAATAAACAACCGAAAACTTGATCTTGAATATGGGCCCATAGAAGAAACTCTCTTTCAGAACATTTTAGATGGAAATAGAGTCCATATGCAGTACTGGGCATGTTTTCATCTAAAATGAGCTTCGGTTAATAGTTCTAGAGCACTTTTTGTATGCTAACAATTTTTTCTGAGATCTTGGTTTGAGGATCCTTCCTAATTTAAGAGAATTTTATTCATTCACTGTTTTGTTAGGTTAAAAGTTGGAAATATTTCTGTCTCATTAAACAGCCTCAATTCAAAGACAGACCACCTGCCTGATTTCCTACTCTTGGTCATCTAAAATAAAGACTGGCAACTGTGGGCATTCCTGAAAAGTGTTTGCCTTGTCCATTTGAGCTTGTTTTTAAAGAATGACTCATGGCCAATCTGTGCTCCAGCTTTTCATACTTAAGAGTGAGAGAGAGAGAGAGAGAGAGAGAGAGAGAGAGAGAGAGAGAGAGAGTGTGTGTGTGTGTGTGTGTGTGTAGAGGAATGGTGGATAGAGGTACAAAAAGAAAATGAACAAAGAAATGTGGGTTGGAAGCCATACTCTAAGCTAAAGCCTGCACCTAATTGGAAATTAGGGGCCAACCTACACCTACAATGGTATAAAACTAAGATCAGGGCAAAGCCATCAAAGTCCAAGGTTACTCCAGGGGACAGGTACATGGGAGTGAAGCAAATGACACCGTGACTCAGTGTGTGGGCAGACCCAGCTTTGAGGAGTCTGGGAAAATGTTACAATTTTGGAAACTCTCTTGAAGAAAAGAATACAATTTTAAGATACAGATACAGATACTCCTCAACTTAGATGGAATTGCATCCTGATATACCTACCATAAATTGAAAATATTCTAAGTCAGAAATGTTCCAGGTATCGTGGCTTATGCCTGTAATCCCAGCATTTTGAGAGGTCAAGGTGGGAGGATTGCTTGATCCCAGGAGTTCTAGATCAGCCTGTGCAACATAATAGACCCTGTCTCTATAAAAAAATTTAAAAATTAGCTCAGTGTGGTGGCACATGCCTATAGTCCTAGCTACTAGGGAGACTGAGGTGGGAGGATCATTTGAGCCTGGGAAGTAGAGACTGCAGTGAGCCATGATGGCACCACTGCACTCTAGCCTGGGTGACAGAATGAGACCCTATCTCAAAAGAAAAAAAAAGGAAATGTACCCCTAACCTACTGAATATCATAGCTCAGCCTGGCCTGCCTTAACTATACTCAGGACACTTACATGAGTCTACAGTTGGACAAAATCATCGAACACAAGTGTGTTTTATAATGAAGTGTTGAACATCTCATGTAATGTACTGAATACAGTACATTGTAGAGTACGGTATCAAGTTGTTTACCCTCATGATCTCGTGGCTGGCTGGGATCTGCGGTTGATACCACTGCCCGGCATCTCAAGAGACTATCTATTGCATATTGCTAGCCCAGGAAAAGATTACAATTCAAAATGCAAAGTATGATTTCTACTGTGTATCACTTTTATACCATTGTTAAGTCAAAAAATCGTAAGTCAGGGACCATCTGTACAATAAGAAGATAATGTGGCAGTGATTACTAAACACATAAATACATCCACTAAACCCGACTTTGTGTATCCTAAGCCAACTTTCCCTAAGCCAGATAATGTCCAGAGGCACTCCAGAATTCTCTGACGCGAGATTGTGATGGAAGAAAAGTCAGAGAGCAAGGACGTATTTGTTAACATGCACAGCCAGGTGTGGTGGCTCATGTCTGTAATCCAAGCACTTTAGGAGGCAGAGGCTGGTAGATCACCTGAGGTCAGCCAGCCTGGCCAATATAGTGAAACCCTGTCTCTACTAAAAATACAAAAATTAGCTAGGTGTGGTAGCAGGTGCCTGTAATCCCAGCTACTTGGGAAGCTGAGGCAGGAGAATCACTTGAACCTGGGAGGCAGAGGTTGCAGTGAGCCAAGAGCATCCCATTGCACTCCAGCCTGGGCAACAGAGTGAAACTCCATCTCAAAAAATAAAATAAAGGCTGGGTACGGTAGCTCACGCTTGTAATCTTAGCACTTTGGGAGG